GTAAAACTACTTAATTTTTCGGTATTAAATCTTTTTTATTTTTTTAATTGTTAGTCTCCTTTTAGGATTATACACTTCGTCCAACGCTACTCCCAGTTTGTTGATCCCTTCCGAATAATATGACTGGTCTGGATATGATTTGGTCCAACTGTGCAAAATAAGTATTCGTTTCTGCAATCATCTCCTCGTTTGAATGAAATCTTCTTCTCGCTAGCCATTTCACATTGAGAAATAAATAGTAGTCCGAGGGAGCCAAATTTGGAGAATAAGGGGGATGTGGAACGAGTTGGAATCATAACTTCAGCAATTTTGCGGCCACAACTCCGGAGGAGTGAGCTGGTGCATTGTCGTGATGGAAAAAGACTTTCTTGTGGTGATAATCAATCGTGGACGTTTTTCTTGCAGCTCGGTTTTCAAACGATCCAATAACGATGAATAATATTCACAGTAATAGTTTTATCCTTTTCCATATAGTCGATAAATATTATTCCTTGCGAATCCCAAAAGACAGTCACCATAATCTTCCCGGCCGAAAGAATGGTCTTCGCTTTTGGTGCAGATTCCCCGCTGGCAACCCATTGTTTGGACTGTTTTTTGGTTTGAAGCGTGTCCATGTTTCGTCCACAATGACGAAACGACGCCTAAAGTCCTGTGGATTCTGCTAGAACAGCAGACATTCCTTGGAAATATTACACTTCACACGATTTTTGGTCAATTGTGAGCAATCGCGGCACCCATTTTGCAGATAATTTTTTCATACCCAAATATATATTGATGCAAAATATTATGGATCCATTCATTCGAGATGCCCACGGCACTAGCAATCTTACGCACCTTGATTCTTCTATCATCCATTATTATATCATAAATTTTATCAATGATTTCTGGAGTAGTAGGGCATCCAGAACATTCAGCATCACTTGTGTTCATTGGCCATTCTGAAACGTTTGAAACTATTTATAAACTGTTCTAATCGAAGGTGCAGATTCATCATAATGTTTATCAAGCTTCTTTTTAGTCTCTTCAAGCAATTTGCCTTTCATAAAGTAATACTGGATCAACACACGAAATTTTCTTTCATCCATTTTTTAGAAATCGCTCGACTTTCTCGTTTCAGACGAACGCCAAATACAGAGAAATAGATCAATCTGGCTGAAACTTGTGTGTTCTTCCAGAGATGCTACTAAT